TACACATACATGCATACATACAGACATGCATACATGCATACATACATACATACATACATACATACATACATACATGCATGCATGCATGCATAGATGCATACATGCATACATACACGCGCATGCATACCGGTCCTTCTTTCTTTCTTCTTTCTCTTTCCCTCTCTCACTGATTCTCTTCGCCCCGCTTGGCAGACACGCATATGCATGTGCGTCCATGCACAGATAGTGCACACTATCACCCTTTCTGGCTACATGCGCTCGCTGGTGGCCTGCCGAGGTGACAAGGCAGCACCCGTTCCAATCCGAATAGAAGGACCACCAACTTCCGCAGGCGAAGCGACTGACTGAGCCTATTCTCGCTGTCATCTTGGCCTTATATATGGGAGCTGTGTCATGCAAGTCAAGTTATTCGCATGCCGGTGTAGGCTTCTTGCTTCTCTGCAGGGCCTCAGTCTGGTGGCCGCTTCTTGAACAGTGCTTTTGCGAACTTGCAGAAACCAAGATGTTCTTGTACTCCCAATTGCCAGATGTTCGCAGTTCCGCGCATCCGACGTTTGTCTGATGTCGGACTTCCGTGTTGGCTTGAGCACGAGGGCTACCCCTTCAGTAGCTCACCAAGCCATCCAATTCTGCAGTGGCACATGGCCAGACCGCTGGACGAGACCAGTCGGCACTAGCCAAGCAAAACCAGCTATTGCTGTAAGCCGGAGGCTTCCGTGGTTCGCGGGTCACATCAGCTCCTGGCGCCGTGCGGCTTGGCCTCGGAGAAGCTTTGGGGAGCATCGGCGCACCAGGGAACCCATGGCTTATGGATCAAGGTTGTGCGCGGAGATATGTGGAGGTTCGGCAAGACAAGTACTGTATAATTTGAATCTTGAATTTGTTTTGCATTACGTCTTGACTTGCTGAGGTCTTTCGTGGCTCCGAACCATGCAGCTCGGCAGCACAGATCCAGACGAAGCAACACATCGAAGTGCTCCTGATCCCTCTGGACCAGGTGGTGGCCCTGACTGCTCGGCCTGAGTCATACCGAGACTGGAACATTGTCTTTGTAACTCCGGGGCGACCGGGTTGTTGTCGAGCCATGGCAGCCTCAGAGTGTGCATGGATTTTGGAGCATCTGTCAGATCTCGGTGGACAAGAGTCAGCGAGGATCTTGTATTAGACGTGCCATCCAAGGTATCTTCGCCACCTGGCAGCACTCGGTAAAACTTGGACATGTAACATATGGCACCGTACCGCCTTCATACTACTGGAATGTTTACCTTGTCCATGCAGCTTTGTCTCCAAGGTACGCGTAGTTTTTGAGGTGTCCAAGATCCCTCCACCACTGTGCTTCGTCTTCGAGTTGGCCTTCTCACCTGCCCTCCCGGTGCCTTGAACACAATTTGGCTCCTCTCTGCTTCAAGACTGCAGCTTGCTTGGGATGGAATCTTGGCTCAGACTGCAGCCGCCGTAGCCATTTGGGCACGAGCTCGTATCGGAAATAGCGAGGAATCCAATGACGGTGTGTCCGCCATGGCTCCTGGCCACGGCCCTGCTTCCTTCTGCCGTGGCCATCTGCCCCGAGGTTTGCACTGCCACAGGTGGTACGTCTTGGCCTTGCAGATACTACAACGGCGGCCAGTGCACCGTGGATGTGAATCCCAGTGTTGCCAGGGCAGGGGCACAAGACATCAACATTGCCGTCATCAGCCCATACACAGGTGTGATTGGGGACATGATGACAATGGCAGAGCCTCTTCTCGCTTTGGCGGCACAGGAGATCGAGGACAGCGGCTATCTTCCAGGCTACCGAGTAAATTTGCATCTTACCGACTCAGGCTGCGATGAGGCAATTGCTACGGAGGCGACCATCGAAGCTTTCACGGTTGGTCCCCGAAAGCACGCTATGCTGGGCGACTCCTGCAGTCAGGCATGCGCAGCCGTAAGCGATGCTGCACGTCTCTTCAGGGTCCTTATGGTATCGCCCGGGTGTGATTCACCTAGCCTCAGTGACCGGACGCGATATCCGTACTTCACGAGGATGACGCCGTCTGACCGCTTCAAAGTGACCGCTATCTTCGAGGTGTTCAAGATGTTCTCTTGGCGTCGTGTTGGAGTGATGGACGGGCCGTTCTACACAGCTGGCGCTAAAGCATTCTTCCTCGAGCTCATTCAGCGAGACTTGGATGCAGGCGCCTACGATTGGACGGTCTTGCTCGACCGCACCGTGAACTCCCTAGCAGATGCTATCAGCGCTGCGGACGAGGTCCAGGTGCGTGACTCAAGAATCAACATGATGGTCCTCCCGGAGTACATCGGCATGTGGATGATGTGTCAGTATTACCTACGCGGCATGCTGCCGCCAGATTACGTGTGGTTCATCGCAGCTTTTGGCAACTGGGTGAACAACCTCACGAATGTCATGGCTGGAACGCCCGAGTGCCCTTGCACGGCTGAACAGCTTGCCAGAGTCTCTGGTGGACTCATGATCAGCGGCCGGTCACCGATCCAGTACCAACGAGCTTCATGGTCTCTCGGGAACGAGACTTGCGGACATCTCCAACTACTACAACACTGCCTGCCAGCAATTCGCGAATGGACTTGGTGCGTGTGACTACGTGTGGACCGGCTACTTTTACGATGGCCTGTGGCACTTGGCTTCTCTACTGCACACCTACCTGATTGAGCAAAACCATTCGCTCGCAGAGCTTGGCACCTCCGCCTCTCGGTCGGCCTTGTACGAAATGTCTTTGGGAAAAGATTACATGGGCTTGACGGGCCGAGTCCGACAGTTCAACAGCATTGAGCCGACGACCATCCCTCCTTCCTTCGGCGACCGCGACGGTGTGCAACTCATCCGGCAAATCACTGGTGGACCGGGCAACGAGTTTACCGATCTGGCCCAGCGCTCCAGCTCTGGTATCTTGTGGCTCGCAGATCTGGTGTGGAGCCCCTATGACAGCCGTCTGGTGCCTTGTAGCACTGGCACTTGTGCCTTGGGTGCTGCCTGGGTCCCGTCGGACCGCATTGCCCAGTGTGCTGCGGGGACCGTCTTCTCCGTGCAGCTTGGGTGCATCGCATGTGAGGCGGGCAAATATGCAGCAGCAGGGATGCTTGAGTGCCAGCCATGCGATGTTGGTACGTTCACCAACGTATCGGGCATGGCAGCATGCCATCCATGTGCACCGGGGAGTTACAATAATGTGCTTGGGGCAGATGGGTGTGAGGAGTGCAGCCAGGGGTTCTTTGCGAACGAGACAGAATCCACTGGATGCATGCAGTGCCCGATTGGCTCCTATGCGTCACAGAAAGGCTTGGCGACTTGCACAGCATGCCCACCTGGGCTGACGACCTTCTCTAGAGGTGCCCTTGATTCTGACGCTTGCCTGTGTCAGGGCGAGTTGTACCAAGGACAGTGTGTCGTATGCACTGGCAACACACGCTACGACGCTGGCGAATGCATTCCGTGCTTAGAGGGTTTGACATGCGACGGAGGTCGCACTGCAGAAGTGCAGCCGGGTTTCTTCACCGACACCGCCGCTCCCTTTGATGTCTACAGATGCCTTCCAGTGGAGTCCTGCCCCGGCGGCTTGCCGGGGGCGTGCGCCGGAGGACGGGTAGGTATTCCATGCACACAATGCCCGGCTGGTCAAGCATGGAATTCGGATGCTTGCAGGGATTGCACCCCTTTCAGTGTAGGCGGTTGGCTCATTGCCGGCATTGCTGGCATGGTTTCCATTCCGGCACTCTACTACATGATGAACATGAAGCAGACGGCCAAGGCCACCACAATGTTGGCCACCTCGTGTGCCCTGGCCATGACAATCAGCATGCTGCAAAACGTTGGGATCGTGGGCTACATCTCGTTCAGTTGGCCGTCGGAGCTTCAATGGATGTTCGATCTGATGAGCCTTTTCACGTTGGACCTGCAAGCAGTGGGCTTCGACTGCGTGTCCAGTTCGCCAGTTGCCGGATACCACATGACAGCCGCCATGCTGCCATGCGCTTTGGTGTGGCTGGTTGTGTGCAGCTTCCTCAGCAAGCTCTTGCCGGCCCGCTGGCAGTTCGACAGCGGCAAGTTGATCAGTACTCTGGGCCAGTTTATGCAGGTCAGTTTCACGATCTACAGTAAGATTGCGTTGTCCCCGATGATGTGCTACTCGCATCCAAATGGCAAAAGCGGCATGCTGGAGCACAACGGCATCTTCTGCTTCGAGAGTGCTGAGCACACGCCCATGTTCATCGCGGGGGTCTGGGTCCTTTGTGGAATGATCAGCTTCTATGCCCTCGCAATTTACGCCACAGTCATTGCCCCGAGAAGAGCCGCAGCTGGGGACGCGTGGTTCCTTGCGGCAACACGCTTCCTTCTCTTCCGCTTCCGCAGCGACTGCTGGTGGTATGGAACTTTCATGATGCCTCGCGGTCTCTTGCTATCGCTGGCAATCGTGGCCGCAGGTGATAGTCCTTATGTGCAGATGTTGATCATCGTGTCCGTGATGCAGATCTACACGGTCGTGCAGCTCATGACGTGGCCCTGGAAGCTTCCGGCCTTGAACGCCTTCGACGCAACCATCAGCTTCTGCCTGATCCTGATGATGGCCATTTTGGGAGCTTTTGCACCTGAGTTGTCCGAGGGCACCATGCAGCAGCTCACGAACGCCGTCATCGGCATCGTCATCTTCCTCAACGGCGTGGTCTTCCTGATGCTTTGTGTTACTCTCTCCGCTTTGGTCCGACTGAATGTCATGGGTGGCTCTCAAGAAAGTGTTCTTCTGGCACTTGGATCCATTCCCAAACCCCACGTTCTCAGTGAGAAGCTCTGCCTTCTGTCGAAGAGGATCCAGGACTTGGGCCAGGATTCCATGGGAGCTGTGCTCGCGAACCTTTCCATCTATGACTTGCGCATGGCCGCACAGATCGTGACAGCCGTGGGCTCCGAGGTGGGGGAGGCCTCGTTGGTGCTGACGAGGCGATCGCAGCTGATGTCCACATCTTCCGTGATTTCCGCCAAGGCGCTTGAGAAACAGATGCCGCTCAGCGTGTCCTCCGAGGTGGCCAAGAAGGAAACATCAATGATAGCCCACGAATCCCACGAGCTAGAAGATGCTAAAGATAGCAGTAGAGCTGCGTTTTCCGATCCGGCTCAGTCAGCTTGGCTGTAGGAATTTATGAGGAACCTGTCTGGCATAGCCAAAGGGGGCTCGACCTTTTCATTCGCAACTTCAGGGTGCCTCTCCCGGAAACCTACTGGTTTAACAGTCCTTATAATAGCCTAAACTCCGAGAGTTCCACGCCCTAGACATCACTGGTATGGCCTATCGGGAGGAAGTTCTACGTACCTTGAGACAAAATGGAGTTGCTTCACGGCCTGTTCTTCCAGACAAGCCCTGGCTCAAGGCCTCGGCGTGCAAGCCGGCCCAACTGTATGCTGGCCTTGTTTCAGAAACATAGACTGTCGGCTTACCTCAAGAAAGGCCAGCAAACACGGTTCGTCGGCGAGGCTTTTCGTGAAGCATCTCTTGCTTGTATTGGATAAAATTCGTGAGACACACATTTTCCAACGACGAGCCTGGGGCTCGTGTGGCGTCACATAATGCCTGCTTGATGCATCTTCGCCACCCCTTCGTCGTTTTTCGCTGCTCGAGGCTAGCCCACTGCAGAGCTGAGAATGGCTGGCATGGATTGGTGCCAGCCTAAAGCATTTCCCAGCTGTACCTCGAAGACCTGCGGGGAGTGTTATGAGCCTTCAATCCAGATTTCTTTGTGATGGCTAGACGTGCAGGAGCACAGCTTCGTGATGTTGTGCGTTTGTCTCTGCGGTCATTCTGCTCGCAGCCGGGAGCTGTGCACGCCGAATGGAGGCGCATGGTGGCAGTCGTGCCTCTCTTTGAGGCGCCACTGCCACCAACATCTCCATTGCTTTCAATCGTACAAAGGAGCCCTGCGCAATCTCGCGCTCTATAGAGCGTTGAAAGCCTTGAAACTCATTCATCGGAATTCTTGCAACTGTACGAAAGCTTGCATGTTTGTCGACTGCAAGCGAGAGCCGCGACAGGGCCCAACACCGCCGACTGGCACTTTAGCAGTACCAATGCTCCGCCGGAAAATGTGGTCCGACCTGCAGGCCTCGCGTAGCAGATTCACAAGCCGGACTTACCAAGCACGAGGCTTTCGTCACACACCTCTCCAACCACAAAGTTCTAGAGGTGCGCTGCGGACCAGATAGGATCGGGGGCGGGATTTGGGTTGAGTCAGGTGGGGCTGCAGGCCGCAGGTAATTCGAGGTATTTCCCAAACAGAGTGATGCACACTGCGAGGCTCTTGAGTTCAGAGTGAAGAGACTCGGTTGGGGTTCGCACGAGGCGCCCCACGGTGCACGCGGAAGGTTCCCTCAGTACATGGGGGAAGCAGAACCGAGGTGTACCCTGGGTTCCGCATGAGGAAGTTTCCATCAACTGTGGTGAGGGTGAGGCGTTCCTGGCGGAAGGTCTAAATTTTGTCTAAATTGAGCTGGTGGTCTCCTGGTGGTCGGTTTCCTTCAGCTCAGCTACTTGGTCTCTGGATAGCTTGCTGCAGTCTCCCAGTGGTCTCCTTGTCGTGTTTGGGTGATCTCCTTGGGTCTCCTGGTGGTCTCCTCGTGAATTGTCTGGTCGTGGCGGTCGTGGTCGTCCTGGTCGTACTGTAGGGGTCGCCATGGTGGTCTTGGTGGGGCTGGTGGTCGTAGTCATCATGGTCGTCTTTGGGGATCTACCCAGGCCTAGTGAGAGCAATGGTCGACCCACTGAATCCTTTGCAGTGGCAGTGCACCCCTGTTCAACCTACTTTACAGGTGCGGGGGCTTGCAACTCGACGCAGTGACCTGGTACTGTCCGAGTGGAGAAGCTGAGACCTGACTGTTGGAGGATGACAACATCTTCCTCCACTTTCAGGGCGAGAACCTGGCACCAGACGGTATGCAGGCCTAGCCGGGAAACAGTCTGTGGTTCCCTCGCAGAGCGCAGTCCAGGACGCGCAGTGGCGAGAGCGGCTGTATATGCCCACAAGTGCCGATGGGGCGGTGCTTTGTTATCATCGCTGGTTGGAGCAGTTCTCGGAAGGCAAGGAGACATGGTTGAGAGGGAGGTCGACCACGTGTCAAGAGTTTTCGTGACAGGATTTCACAAATGCTGATTATCCTGCAACGCGGGCTCGTCCTAGCTAGGTGGGAGGCGACAAAAAGAGGGCTTGAACCGTGCATAGACCAGCGCAAGCTACAAACATCCGCTCAGCAGCATTCGCCACATGACTCCGACCCCCCGAACCTCGAGAGCGATAGATAGAGAGAGAGATCTGCCCCGGATGGTAGAAACAGTCTTCCGCGACTCTCCACAAGGCCCAGCAGCGTGGGGTTTCGACCGGGGAGGCCTCGAATGCCTCCCATGCTCAGGGGAGAAAGAGAGAGCGAAGCAAAGCAAAGCAGAGAGAGAGAGAGAGGGAGGTTTCCGCAATACGTACAGAGCCGTCT